AAAAAAAAAAAAAAAGGCCACTCTGGAGTGGCACAGAATGAGAATTTCAGAACTGGAAAAACAAACTGAAACCAAACGCCTCATTCTCCAACAAAGAGAGGTTTGGGAAGGTTAAATCACACAGCTAATGGAAGTACGGTGAAAGAAATGTTTAGGAAGATTGATCTGACATAGATCTATGGGATGCTTCAGAGGAGAAAAAGACTGGAAGCAACCGTGTGTGTTAAGAGGCGACTGCCATCATCAAAGCATGCGGTAATGAGGGTGCAAACTGGGGTGATGGGCAGGGAATGAGAAGCAGAGGAGGATCTGAAAGACATTGAAAATGTACCCTTCGCACTGCTTTTTCACTGTCAGTAAGATTTAATCTTGACCTATTTCTGCACAAGCTGATATCAATCATGATACCCAGATATTTTTACCCATAGCCCCAAACTGCACAAAAAAAGACATAATTAGCAATTCTTTTGACTCATCTAGGGCCTCTGAGAGTGATTCATAGCCTTCACTACACAATTATCCACCATAAATATAGTTTAACCTCTGCTTATTCCAAGCAATGGTTCTTTATAATGTCCATCTGTACATCACTTACTCTTTTGCTGTAGGATTAAGTCCAACCTCTTTATCTTTTGAGATCCTCAGTATTTTTTTTCTCCTCCACCTAAGATAATCAATCTTGACACACGTTATTCTGTAATATGACAGTAAGGAATCTTTCAGAATCAGGATAGCAAGTTTTGTTTTTTTTTTCAATTTTTTTAAAGTTTATTTATTTTGAGAGAGACAGAGACAGCATGGGTGGGGAAGGGGCAGAGAAAGAGAGGGAGAGAGAGAGAAATCCAAAGCAGGCTCCCCACTGCCAGCGCAGAGCCCAACACTGAGCCCGACACTGAGGTCGAACTCACAAAACCGTGAGATCATGACCCGAGCCAAAACCAAGAGTCGGATGCTTAACCAACTGAGCCACCCAGCAGAGCAAGTTTTATTTATCTTCCCTAAACACGCTAAGATCAAAGATTCATTTCAGTTAACCTTGTCTTTTAAAATGGACATACAATAGAGTAAATGTCTTCAATAAGAAAAGCTGGTTGATCTCTTTTGTTCAAGACCAACAACCCAGAGAAAATCAAACTTTTGACTGTAGATGGGAAGGAAAATAATTTAGAGAAGCAGATGGGATAATGGGTGAGAAAGACCAGGATAAAATCTGGGCAGGCAGAAGGCAATCACTTGGGTAGCGTCTCACATGCAAAGTCTGATCAGGCACTAAGGGGGGTGGGGGCAGAGATACTGGAAAAGAGGTATAAGCACCCCAAAGACAAACCTGTAGAGGGTCAAGAAAGCTGACAACTGTCCCACATATTGCTGGAAATACTGCAGAACCCCTTGTGGCCCTCAAGCCACTCAGAGTCACCCCTAAACCAGTTCTGCTCCAAACCATGCTAACACACACTGTACCTAGTTTTCTCCCATGCTCACAACCCTACTCCGATCTCTGAGGATCCTATCTATGCAAACCTTTCTCACTTTCCGAGTTCCAGATTAGGCTTCCTCTCTTTCCTAGTTGACCACTGTAGCCAACCACACTCCTCCTCCTTGGTGTTAACAGTCAAATGCCATCTTGCATTGTTTTCAATTCAGGCCTGGCCTCCGGTAAAAGCAAAGTTCCTTGAGAATAGTTTCTCTGTCCTATAACTTATGTCCCTCCTTCAGAAAAAAAGCACAAAGTGAATGAAAAGTGTTCTTTTGGGGGGTGCCTGGGGGGCTCAGCAGGTTAAGCCACCCGACTCTTGATTTCAGCTCAGGTCACGATCCCGTCATGATCTCATAATGATCATGAGTTTGAGCCCCACGTCTCTCGCTCCCTCCTTTTCTGCCCCTCTCCTGCATGTGCACACGCACGCGCTCTCTCTCAAAATAAATAAATAATTTTAAAAAATAATTTTGGAGCTACCAGTGTTTCTATTCTGTTTTTCTCCAATTATCATTTTAAGCAGCATAGATCTTATAGTTTTAGAAGCAGTTCCTTATTTGGGGATCAGTTTATAAACTACGTGGTTGAAAATACATCCCAGCCAAGGATGTATATTTTTCTCTACAGCTGGTGATGAAGAAACGAACAAAGCTGGAGCCTAAAAAGACCAATATAGTCAATGCACTTAGACAAATGTCAACAGCTGCCAGGGAAGATTTCATACTTAGAATGGTTAGTCGGCTAGAAATTGGTTCTATTATAAGAATTTGTTTCCTCTGCAAAAGAAAAGTTTGAATACATTAAATCTTAATGAGAATTCTACAGGCCTGGGCACACAGTACAAAAAAAAAAAAAAAAAAAAAAAAAAAAAAAAAAAAAAAAAAAAAAAAAAAAAAAAAAAAAAAACCTAATTACAAAGCACAATTTTCCAAGTACATTCAAAGATTTTCAGCAAAAATAATTTAAATGAATTTTTTGTCTTGGAAAATAAATTATATAGATTTCTGATGTTTGATACTCAATGGAAATAGGCACACCAGAGTTTCATTTCTGCCATCTATTTTTTTCACTTATTCATATATTCATTCACTGAATGTCTAATACGTACTGGGCATTGTGCTAGGTGCTGAGGAAACAGAAAAATAAGATAGCCTTGCCCTGGAGGATGTCAAACTGTGGGTCAAATAGAATGTCTTTAAATATGCCCAATGTTCCAATGGGAATGCGCAATGGGAATATTTGGGGCTCGGAGCCATGACTAAGTAATAGATGTGGGGTTTCATTACATAGGTGGAGGAGGGGTGCCTGGGTGGCCCAGTCGGTTAAACGTCCGATTTCGGCTCGGGTCATGATCTCGCGGTCCGTGAGTTGGAGCCCCGTGTCGGGCTCTGTGCTGACCGCTCAGAGCCTGGAGCCTGTTTCAGATTCTGTGTCTCCCTCTTTCTCTGACCCTCCCCTGTTCATGCTGTCTCTCTCTCTCTCTCTGTCTCAAAAATAAATAAATGTTAAAAAAGAAATGTTTTTTAAATAAAAAAAAATAAATAGGTAGAGGAACAGTGGGAATTAGTATGTATATACCTAACACTACCATTTTAACCATGGTTTCTGGAAACCAAGAGTATAGCGCAAGGTAAGCAGAAGGTAAGGTCTCCGTCAAGTTCATTTATGATCAGAGGGCAGGAATCACCCAGAAGTTGAAGAAGATAAACTGACAGTGTGGTGAGTCTACAACGTGCCGGCCATTTGTGGACTTTCTACAGAATGTCTCATTTCATCCCCCAATGCCAAACCATGGCAGAGTTGTTTACAGTGGAGAAAACCGAGACTCAGAGAAATTAAGTTAATTTGCCCCAAGTCACAGTGATCATCCTGGCACAGCCAGGATTCTGACCGTGTGGTCTGGCTCACAAATCTCGGTGTGATGAGTCTCATCTACCGCCTGCTTGCCTGGGAAGGCGCAGGGAAAGTGGTTTCAGCAGCCGGGGGACAGTGAGGAAGCTCTGACTGCAGATTTGGACAAGCTGGCGAAGGAAAAGGGAGCAGGAACTGAGGGCAGATCGCGACAAAACGACCTGAGAATTCAGTGGTCAAATCAGACTCGCTGTGGCACCTGTTTTTTTGTTGGTTTCACAAACTTCAAGGTGACAGTGACTATGTGGTCGGGACCTTGGCACCATTTTGGCTGCAAGTTACTGCATATCCAAGTAAAGCTTCTACTTGGAACGCTTCAGAGGCTGAAGCAAGCTTATTAAGGAAACGTGCTCTGCAAAGTAAAGACCAAAGAACGGAGGGTCGGAGGCTACGAAACAAAGGCCTCTGCTAAAGGCACGAGCCTCGGCTAAATCGTCTCTTCTGACCGTCGCAACAACCAGGACCGAGGCTTTTTGTCCCAAGCCTGCACAGGGGAAAACATCGCTGATGACAGTGACGTCGGGCAGGTGTCCTGATGCATCTGACTTGGTCCCAGGTGGGACGACAGCTATCAAACACTTCACTGGGACAGAATTTAAATTCCACATTCAGCAAATGCTGATTGCCTGAAATAGAGCGGCTCTGTTTGCGAGTTCATTAGAAAATACCCCATCAGGGTGAGCAGGCTGGGAGAGGATATGATGTGGCAAAAACGAAAGAGCAGTCAAGAATACAAGAATAGGGAGGATGAACAAGACAGATGGGGAAGATGCTATTTTTTAGGTTTGCCAGTTTTGCAAGATGAAAGCAGTTCCGGAGACGGACGGTAGCGATGGTTGCCCAACAACGTGAATGTCCCAACACCAATGAAGTGTGTATTTAAAAACGGTTAAGACGGTAGCGCTGTGCGCATTTTGCCACAACTGAAAAAATAAGTTTAGAGTTTGCTTAAGCTATTAAAGTGACATAAGAGAACACGCTCACATTAAAAAGAAAAAAAAAAACTTGCTTTAAACACTTTTGTTTACTAGAAGCTGAGCGAGCTAATTGATGTTATTTGAAATGGCCCGTGGGAAAGTAACTGCAGCGTCTGTGGATTTCAGAATAATGATACAAGTAGTTTGAAGAAATTCTTAACACGCGTAGGCTCGTGGAATTTAAAACAGATGTAGCGTTAAGGGCTATGCAAGGTTTTTCAGTTACACGCCCCAACTTCTTCGGGGATGGGCTTCCACTGCTAAGCTCAGGCCCATCAGAAAGGCAAACCACACACTCGATCACAGGTATTGTCCGCAGTGCCCGGCTCACCCGTCCGTGCTTTCCCCTCAAGCCCGCAGCGCCCACCAAACAGCGGCTTCTCCCTAGTGAAAGACACGTTTTCCTTCCGAAAACCGTAGGACCTCCCTACACAATAGGGGAGCTATCTCGTTCTCGACGGCGGAGGCCACTTGGGGTTCTGTTCGGACCCCTTTCCAGTTACCCGGCTCCCTCGCACACGCTCCCCTACCGCCGCTCCGAGCTGCGCGGCCGCAGCCGCCCGCGGAAGGCAGGCTCCGGAGGCTGGACGGAGGCCGTGCGGCTCTCGCGAGACCCGTGGCCGCGCGGGAGTTCTCGAGTCGTGCGACGAGGCGGCGGCGGCGGCCCGGGACTCGGTGATGGATGGGGCGCTTCCGCAAAGATGGCGGCGGCTGCGGTAAGAAGCGCTCGGCTGACGGCCTGGGGCGGCCGACTGCGGCGTGGGCTCTCCGCCGGCCGGCGGGCTTTGCCGGGCCCCAGCCCCTTGGCGGCGGCAGTGGCCGGCGTGGCCCTGGCAGGCACAGCAGTGGCATGGTACCACGGCCGCGTGAACGTCGCGGCGCCCGAAGGCAGGCTCACCGTCTTAGCGCAGGTACGGGACCGGTCCTTTTCGCCAACCCCACCAAGCTCCTCCCTCCTCGGACTCCCGGCGGTGGAGAGTGGGGGCTGCCGCGGGCGGCCCCGGCTCCTCTTCCGGAGTCAACGTTAGGGGCGCCGCCGCGGAAGGCCCCGGACGGGCGGGAGGCGCTCCTTTCCAGCCGCGGCCCCCGCCGCGCGCGCCCGAGGGCATCGAGGCCGACGACGGGCCGCTCAGCCCCTGCGGGGGGAATCCCGCGAAAGCCGCACGGACACCTAAAGCCCGAGACGCGAGTAGAGACGATGGGTGTGGGCGTGTCTTGGTTTGTGGATTTCTCACTACACCTTGCCCGCGCTCCCTCCCTTCTTGCTGGTGTTGCTCAGAGGTTCAGGGGGTGTGTTTCCAGGGACTCACCCCACAGGTACCTTTGTTAACCTTTGTAACTAAATCCTTTACGACTGGTTCTCTGCGTAGCGTGGTGAAGTTGTCCTAATAGATGACTTTTTTTTTTTTAACCGTAAAAGTGCCAACCATAAAAATTAGCAGGTTGATGATTTCCAGATTTTATCATCACCTCTGGGGAACAGTATTACATGATTATGAACCTTAATCTTCGGTAGACTCTAAGTACTAAGCAAAAGACGTTTCTTCTGAAACCTCCACGTTTAAGGGACAAAGTTCCCTACTTCAGTGTAAAACTGCCCGGTAAATATTTGAAAAAGTACTACTTCTTAGATATTTTATGTACTTTTAATAAGTTTTAGTGTATGCGTTGCTTTGAAAATTAGAAATCGTATTCTTTGTTAGGTTTACCTTATATCTTTTTTTTAAGGGTCTCTTCTGTTTAAAAAAATTTTTTTAATGTTTATTTATTTTTGAGAGAGAGACAGAGGGGGGCAGTTTGGGGGTGGGCAGAGAGAGAGGGAGACACAGAATCTTAAGCAGGCTCCAGGCTCTGAGCTGTCAGCACAGAGCCCGATGCGGGGCTCAAACTCAGGAACCGTGAGATCACGACTGAGCTACCCACGCACCCCTACATTTTACCTTTCTAATGAAAAACCCAAGGAACGGTCAGATACAAAGAAAGAGAGGAAGACAGGCCGTGTGAATTAAAATTAAGCATTGATAAATGATATTTTGACTTGTATTAAGTTAAGATGCCATATGGATAACAAGTTCAGTAACTTTCCTATCCTCTTACCATTTCTGATCATAGGTGGGAGGATCTGTCTTGTGGTATTTTATGGCATTTTTGTTAGTTCTTCTGGTGCCAAGGATTCAATTTATTATTCATCATTGGTTTCTCTCTGTTCTCAGCTCTTTTTTAAAAATTTTTTTTTAATGTTTATTTTTGACACAGAGACAGAGCTTGAGCAGAAAAGGGGCAGAGAGAAAGAGAGGGAGACAGAATCCTTAACAGGCTGCAGGCTCTGAGCTGTCAGCACAGAGCCCAACGCAGGGCTCGAACTCATGAACTGTGAGATCGTGACCTGAGCTGAAGTCAGATGCTTAACCGACTGAGCCACCCAGGCACCCCTCTCTCTGTTCTCAGTCTCTTATTTCATTCTGTTTGCAACCTTTAGGTTAATCTTACAAAGAATGACTTTTTAACCACATAGCGTACCCTTCTTCAGTAACCATTGGTGCCTCATTCTGCCTAGGATAAAACCCACATTAGAAAATTTTGATACTCAAAGCCCGTTGTGGTAATACTCTAACCCATCACTACTCAGATACACTTCCAGTAAAAGTGATTCACTTCCTTTTTTTTTTTTTTTTAAACATTTATTTATTTTTGAGAGAGACAGAGCATGAGCCCAAGAGGGGCAGAGAGAGAGAGGGAGACACAGAATCCGGAGCAAGTCTCCAGTCTCTGAGCTGTCAGCACAGAGTCTGACACGGGGCTCGAACCCACGAGCCGCAAGATCATGATCTGAGCCGAAGTCGAGGCTTAACCAATGAAGCCACCCAGGCACCCCTAAGGTGTACAACTTGATGTTTTTTTTTATACATTGTGAAATGGTCACCGTAACGAGTTAATTAACATACCCATCACCTCACCTAGTTACCATAGAGTATGTGTGTGATGAGAACACTTAAGATTTATCCTAAAACAAATTGTTAATTGCAGTTGCCATAGTGTATGTTAGATCTCTAGGACTTATTCATCTTGTTTAACCGAAACTATTATCCTGTGACCAACATCTTCCCACTTCCCCCAACCTCGGGCAACCACCATTCTCCTCTGTTCTTCTATTCAACTATTTTAGATTTCACATATAAGTGAGACCATGTAGCATTCGTCTTTCTGTACCTGGCTTATTTCACTTAACATATCTTCCATTCTCATCTTTATTGTTGGGTAGCAAGATTTCCTTTTTCAAGGCTGAATAATATTCCTGTGTGTGTGTACATGCACATCGCATCTTTTCCTTTCAGCCGTTGATGGACAGTTGGTTATTGTAAATAATGCCGCAATGAATGTGGGAGTGCAGATATGTCTTCACAATACTGATTTCATTTCCTTCAGGTACGTACCCAGAAGTAGTACTGCGGGACCATTTGGTAGTTCTGTTTTTAATGTCCTGAGGACCCTCTGTATTGTTTTTCATAATGCCTGTCCCACTTTACTTTCCTAGCCAACAGTGTAGAAGGGTTTTCTTTTCTTCACCTCCTTTTCATGACTTGTTATCTTTTGTCTTGTTGGTAATAGCTATTACTGACAGATGTGAGGTGATACCTTGTAGAAGTTTTGATTTGCATTTTCCTGATGATTCATGATGTTGAGCACCTTTTCATATATATGTTTGTCTTTTGTATGTCTCCAAAAATGTCTGTTCACGTCCTTTGCCCATTTTTTAATCTGGTTATTTTATTTATTTCTACGGTCATTTAGTTTGAGTTCCATTTATATTTTGGTTATTAATGTCTTATCAGATGTATGGTTTGCAAAAATTTTCTCCCATTCTGTAGGTTGTCTTTCAGTCCGTGGTTTCTCTTTGCTCTTTATAAGCTTTTTTTTTTTTTTTTTTTTT